AGTGAGTAAAAAAAATGATAAATAAAGAAAAGAATAAAAATTTAAAATTATTATTATGTTTGTTTTAAAAAATTTGTAGAGCGCAATTTGAAAGTGTTAAAAAAAATAGTAGTTATTATATAATATATACTATTATTTTAGACACGTTTAATTAGGATTTTAAATTTGTACCTTTTAACTAAAATATATATTATTATTAAGGAATAAAACATCAGACAAAAATATATGCATAAAACAATCACTTTTATAATAATTATACTTTGGAAAGGAAAAAAATATTTTGTGATTCTAATTTTTAAAAAAATTAAAAATAATAAAATTGATGATTATTATGTGAATAATTAACAAAAATAAAGATAATTATAAAAAAGTAAAGATAATTATAAAAGTGAAAAAGTTATAGATATGAGTGAAAAGTTTGTCAAAAATAGTGAAGAAGAATGATAATTAATATATTTATATGTATTTATAGATAAAATGATCTTATGATAATGGAGACAAAACACGGTTGAATATTTTAACATCTTTATTTAATAATTCAGATATAAATAATTCAGATATAAATGATAGACATAATTTATGAACAAGTAATTGTTTTAATTAAATTGAATTAATTAGATATCAAGAAGAGATTTATAGACTACAATGCCTTGCATAATCTGTTAAAGAACAATTTCGTGTAGTTTATGAACTAACATGAAATTTCATGCCTTATGAGTAATGTACTTCACAATCAGAATTTAGCACGACACCTTGTCATAATAATGCATTTTAGTTACCCTCTTTTTCCTATTTGAATTTCAAAGATAATGTCACAAATCCTAACAATAACAAATTTATAAGAGAGATAATGTCTTGATAAAAATTATAAATAAAAGTTTTGAAGAGTTAGGATAAAAATTATAAATAAAAGTTTTGAAGAATTAAGATAACAAATGAAGAAATTATCTTTAATAAGAGAGATTACCCGATGAAAATGGATTATACTGTTAAAAATCTATAAATAAATAAAAATTATTCAATGAAAATTTCACCAAAAAATTAATTATTATTGTAGAAAATATATTTGTTATACATTGAAACTTACTCAAAACAAAATAATCCTATATTAAGTAGTATCTACTAATAGTCTTGTATAACCCATCATTTAGAAACAATATTGTCTTTGTATCACCGAGAATTTAGAAATAACACATATCTTGTAAAAAAAAAAAAAAAAGAATTGAACAACGTCAAACTAGATTTAGAAATTATTCTAAACCACATTCCTATTCAAGTGTTTCATAATTTAAAAACAATGTGTTAATGTTTTTTTTCTTCTGAATTTTAATACTGTTTAGAATTTATTTAATTTTAATATAATTCAGCTATCTCACTCCATCAAACTTTAAAAGGGTGGAGTAGTTTTGTTTGTGTTATAATTATTTCTTCCACGCTAGTCAATCAATTTTTTTTTGGTATACCATTGTATCTATTTTTTTTAATTAGATTCAACTTAGAAAGCTCTAGAAAAACTAATATTAATAGTAAATAAAATCGGGAACATGTTTATTAAATTCATAATTTTAACACTTAATATAGAGAATGTGTCTGACCACCTTTTAACACAATACATTTGTGCCAAGTTATTGAAACAAATAATAGCAATCAAACTAACAATTCTATAAATTTAGACCGCAAAGTTCTGATGCGCCACATAACTCTGATGCGACACATGCGCCACATGAACTCTGATGCACACATGTTTACGACAAATACACTACACAACTATACATATGCACAATTAACACAATCAAAATAAACTTTATTGATTTTGAAACATCCAAGTTTATGCTAAGATACCAGCCCATCAGAAATTGTGTAAAACATCACCGCTTTCTGCTATAACTATATTAATGCAATAGTCAAGTCCTAATGGGTGAACTCTAATGGGTGAACTCTGATGCGACACATGCGCCACATGAACTCTGATGCGACACATGTTTACATTTCTCTGGACAAATACACTACACAACTATACATATGCACAATTAACACAATCAAAATAAAACATCCAAGTTTATGCTAAGATACCAGCCCATCAGAAATTGTGTAAAACATCAGCGCTTTCTGCTATAACTATATTAATGCAATAGTCAAGTCCTAATGGGTGTCCCGATATCCATTGGCTATATATTACACTGAATCAAAAACCGAATGAACAGGGCAAATAGTAATGAAATCATTATTAATTCCCATGTACCAGGGTTCTAATTATTGACAGTCATAAGACAAGTAAACAGATACTTTCTGAAACAAATACACATGAATGAAGTGTATAATTTTACTTTTAGACTTCCAATCTTATAAATTTTTCAGAACAGAATTTTAGACTTCCAATCTAATAAATTTTTCAGAACAGAACCCTACCAGCAGTGCAAACAAAGTCCTAATATCTAACTACTGTGTAAATAAAATAAAGGTAATTAGAATAGTTATTAGTCAGAAGGATATCATGGGTCAACCCATCGTATTTATAAATAAGAGGTAACTTGGTGGCTAACAGGATAGTTATTCATTTGTAAATAGAGCATTAGCTCTTTTTGTAAAAAGAGAAATCCTTTGCAGAGGCGAATGAGAATTACTATCTTATTTTGTGTTATTTTTGTAGTCAAGAAATAAATCTTTCTTCTCTTTTCTCTTTACAATTTTTTTCCCAACATATTGCATATTTTCTCTTTACAATTCTTTTCCTAACATATTGCATATAAATAAATTGGAATAGACCAGGCCAATGAAGACAGCCATAGAAGCACCAAAAAAATATAATTATATATATGGTAATGGTAATATACCCATTGTTTTAAAATTACAAGGTGGAACAAATCTATGATCCATATGCATGTATACTCCTAAACAATAAAATTGAAAAGAAAACAAAAACTCGAGCTAACAGCCCCCTCAAACCAAAATTTTCAAGAAAATCATATTAAGTCTGTATAAGAACAATGACACAGCCTCTGGTTAACAATTTCAAAGATGCTGCAGGCTGTATTTATAAGGGTGACCAATTCATGCAATTAACTAGAAGCAACAAAATAGCAATATGTACCCACAATGGCGGATTTCAACATCTGAATCTCCCACAAACCAAGCCAAGCCTCAGCTACCATAATGTTGAGTCCGAGCAGCCATATTGGCAACCTGAGCTTGCAACTGTGCTGCCCTAACCTTGGCGGCGGTGGCGCGGTGAAAGAATTGCTCCCGGGACAGCGCCCTCACACTCCTCAAGTACTGATCAAACGGCACAGCCCCCACCTGAAGCGCCTTATCCAAGGCGTAAAGCGTGTCCTCAATGGCCAAATCCGCCGCAGTGCAATCCAGCATCTGCTTGGATAGCACATCGACACAGTCAAACGCATCCTCGGGATTCTCCAAGCCCGCCATCTTCTTCCCCTGGTTGTCCCTCAACCACCCTTCCAAAACATCGGTGTTCATCAACACCATCTGCAGCTGCTGCTCCAGCGCCTCCATCTCCGCCTGCATCTCCTTCAAACCGCCGTTGAGGCTCTCCTCCCGCTGCTTCAGCACGCCCTGCAAGGTGAACAGCCCCTCCATCTCAGCCTCCCGCGTCTTCCTTAGGGAAGCAACATCGCCGTGCACCATCTCCACAAGCTTGTTAATCGCGTTTCGCTTAAACACCTCGGAAGGATCCTCCGTGGACTGAACCCTAGGAGCAGGGTAAGGGGAAGGAGGGTAAGACCTGGGAGGGTAAGTCCTAGGAGGTTGGGAGTGGCCGTGTGCACTTCCAAAACTAGAAGGGGAGTTTCCAAAATTGGGAGGAGGATTGGGGTTAGGGCTAGGGTTAGGGTTGGGGTTAGGGTTAGGTCTGCGTTGGGAATATAGGGGAGGGTCGCGACCGAAGCGGAGGCTGAGATCGAGGACGAGATCGACGAGGTTGGAGCCAGGGTAGACCCAATCGTGAAGGTAAGGGACGGAGACTAGGCCTGAAGGGTTAACGTGAGGGTGGGGGCGCTTGATGATCATGTCGCGCGTGGGGTTGACGTAGACGCAGGGAGGGTGGCGAGGGTAAGATTCCATGAGCCAGATTATGACGGGGATGTTGTACGTGACGCCTTGGAAGGTCATGGGGATGGTGCCTTCGGCTTGGAGGAGGTTCACCGAGCGACCGTCGTTGTGCGTGAACGACGCCGTTTTGGGTTCGAGGGAGGGGAAGGCGGTGGTGAGGGACACCAGTTGCTGCCGGATGAGCCACTTTGTGTCCTCCGAATACGGGACGGCGGAGGGGCCGCGCTGGGAGAGGACGGAGTTCAGGAACTGAGTCACCGCCGGTTGAACCATGCCGATTGATGCAAGCGTGTGTGTGTGTGATTGGGTTGCTTACAAGAGAAGAATGGGTTTGCGTTGCGCGTGAGGAGAAGGAGATGGGGTTGATAAGTTTCACAGTTCACACATTCCAATTTTCTCTTCTCCGGAATGAATCGCAAACCACGTCACTGTTTGTTTATATTTTTCTTGAGCCTCTTCTTTTCTTGTTCGGTTTCACCACAGCTTCTGGGAACACTTCCCTTTTACGTATTGCTTTAACGTTTTTTAAAAGAAACAATTAAATGAATAACTAAATATATTTAATATTTTAAAATATAAAATGCATTATACTTTTTTGCTTCATAAAGGATTGATTAATAAGAAAAAGTTGTGATAAGATTTAGAATTATTCTTTTTGTCTCTTATGCAATTTTTTTTTCAAAATAATTAATTTTTATTCTAATATTTAGTCTATTATGTTCTTTCATATTTTTTTTTAATTTAAAAGTTTTTAATTTTCATAAATTAAACTAATTAATTTATCTTTTACTCACAATTCATTAAACAAAATATTAACATACGTCTAAAAACTCAACTCAGTTTCTTCGAACCTTAATTGTATCAAATTTCCAACTTTTTATTAAATTTCTTAATTCTAAGCTTTTAATTTAATTTTCTATTTCAATTCTATCGAAAGTTCCTTATATTTGAACAAAAACTAAAGTTTAAGAATATTCAATATTATAAATTAACAAAAAGAATAATTTTTTTAAATTTTAAAAATAAAGGAACTTAATTAGTTCAAAAAATTCCAAAAAAAAAACTATAATTGGACATAACTCAAACTCAAAAATTAACAATATGATGAAGTTTTATTTTAATATAAACATTTTCAACTCATAAATTGAGACTTTAAAAAAAATGCTTTCCAACGAAGGTGTTAGAAATGGGCAATAATCGATGCTAATGAATACAATATTCCCGAGTAATAACCGCGTATAGGTTTACTAATATCACTTTTAGACTTCTAGTCAATAACATATTTAACTCTTTAATATAATTCATACTAATATCAGTGTATTTACTAGACTTGTATGTTATAAAACTTAAAAGTGACATCTCTGTAATTGAAGCCATAAATGTAGCAGCACATGATGAACGTAAGCAAGTTCTGCCATTACAACAAATAATGGATTCAGCTTTAAACCAGTAATAAAATAGAGACTATCAAACCACGTATACCACATTTAATTCAAATACGACATTGAAACATCACTCTGGTCCAGGACATCAGACCCTAAAAATCCTCAAGACCAAAAAACAAACTAATCTTGTATGTCCTACATAATTGCTATGCAAGGCCCTCTCCCTGATATTACATAAATTGACTGTGGTACCTAAATTAGTAAAATGCAATTCAGGCATGACCTGAAGGTGTTAAATCACAATATCTTCCACTTCTTCTGAACTGCGACAGTAATCATTGCAATACAATAAGCAGCACTTAGAGGATACTCCGAAACTGCAAACAGGAAGCATAATGAAGTGAGCAACTACCAAATATCCTGACCGGTGTAAATACAAAAAAGTTGACAACAAATTTTTAGGAGAAGTGAAAATAATCAGCAGCTTTTACTCAGTTTAACCACATCGTTTAACCATTTAAATTGGGCTCAATTTAAACACGACCTATATTTTTTATGTGAAAGACAGTAATGTTTGGCTTGAAAGCAAAACATCCCATTTTGGTTGTGTCTGTGGCCATTATATTATAAAAATGTGTATTAGTTGCAAGATTGTGGTTACTCTCTCATAAAAATGTAATAAAAGAACCAAAGAGGAATACTGCTCTGCTTGGCTGAGCAGATACATGTATTTGCCCATTTTATTAAAACTAGTCTAGTCCAACCTTGGCCGTCGATCATAAACCTGCAAAGGAAGTTTTGCCAACAAATCTAGAAAAGCTTTACTTTTTATTCTTTTTACAAGGAAAGGAAAACCAGATCAACGGAGATCAGGTAGTCTAACCCGTTTAAATTTTGCAAAATTCACAAAACTCTTCATTCATTGTTTTGGAATTTGATCAGACAAATATAAACATCAATCAGAAACCTCTAATATTCGAAACAATAGCATAAAAAAAACTCCCATGTTTATACATGAGGGGAAATGGAAATCAGCTAACACACACTGAAGACAGAAGAGTCAAATCAATTAAGCCAAAAGGGACATGACTTTCACGAGTATCTATAATTATTGAGAAGAGAGAATATTAAAAAAAAAAAGTATGAATAAACATACTTGCTACATAATCTTCTGTATAATCTGTCTCAATCTTCCCATGGGCCATTGCTCCTACCTGAAATTATATATTATGTTAAACGTTAAGCATCTACCGAAACAATAACAATATAGAAATTAAAAGTTGAACTCGTAATTATAATAGTACCACAAAGACAAGGTCCATATTGTTGGGAACAGTGGATACGTAGTCATTCATATCTACAAGCTTTTCTGAACTATATGATAGACCTGACATTAAAAGAAAGCAAACACTTCAATTATTTTGAATGTATTGATAAAATAACTTATAAAAAGAGAAAGATAAACACATAAGTGAACATTAGGATTCAGGAATACCTTGCAACATTTCCTATGTATGTCTAACAAAAATAAACCTTCAAAACAATCATGTGCAACCCTGAAACCATTTAGAAAACAAACCCATTCAAGAACACAACGTACCTATTTTTCGCGAGTTGACAGGCAAATACTGTGTCACAGGGTTCTTGACAGTACGGAGAAGTTTTTCACGCTTGCCAACAGCAGATATGCTCAATTTTTGAAGCAGTTCCACTGCAGAATAGTAAAGTTTAGTAGTCTTACTTAACCTCACAGAGAAAATGAGGCACAGGAAATCAAAAAGACTAACTAAGACTTACACATGACACCAGCGAAACGTTTGAATGTTCTGGGAATACGAACAAAGGGCTTAACCTCTATAAGGACACCTTTTTCAGTCTTTATGTATACTGTTCGCAATCTCCCAGATTTATTCAGTGGACTATCCAAAATAGATAAAAGGGACTGGAAACAAAGCACCATTGAACATAAAATCAGGTTTAAAATTATAATAAATTGAAAAAAAGATAGCGAACCATTTTAACAGCATAACCTCAAACAAGCAATTTTAATAGCAAAATTAAGACCTGATGCGTAATGTCGGGCCTGTAATCACCGGGATTCTTGTTATTTTTGCGGAGGAAATTGGCATGGTCGTCGGAGTTCAAAAGCTGATATGTCTGTACAATGAATGATAGCAAAGAAAAATAATTGATTGAAAGTAATGAAGAAAAGGAGAATAAGAAATTGAAGAGTGTGAGGAAGTGGAGTACCTTGCCAACTTTGGCGACTTCCAATGAAGCTTTTTCGAGAATGAAGATGACGTTGGGTTTGGTAGTGTTGTTCTCGCTTGGCGCAATTGGAATACCGCTCAATTCATTGTCCTCGGTTGAAGCTGGTGTTGGTGTTGGTGTTGCTTCTTCGTTCTCCGCCACAGTTCTCTTCCGTGTTGGCGTTGGTTCATCGTTCTCGACCACAGTTCTGTTTGGCTGTTGGGCTTGTTGGTCTTCTTCTTCGGCGTCGTATTTGGGTTCGGCGTGCTTTCGCTTCCGCCCCTTCACACCGTAAGGTCGCGTCATTGTTTCGCTCCAAACACTACCTATCCTAGGGTTTTTGTTTTTGTATTTTTGTTAAAGGCCGTATAATATGGTATGGTACACCCCAAACCGTGGTCCAACAGTGGTTGGATGAAAACCTAACCGTTGGATGTGTGATAAAAAAATATATTGATAAAATTATGTTTAATTGCATTTTTTCATTCTCTTTTATTGTGAATTTAGTCATTCTGCTTTTCAAATTTGATATTCACTTTGTAATTTTGATTTACGAGTGTCTTTTAACTTCACATTTAGAAATTAATAGTGTCAACAATTTTTGGAAAGAGTCAAAAGTTGTATTTTATTTTATTAAAATATGTGTCTATTCATGAGAAAAAATTCAGTTACAAGAGTTGTATTTTTTCATAAAAGAAAATATTGTTAAAATAATTTAAAAAGTTGCATTATTTCCTAAAAGTATGTATTTAATAATGTGGTTCATGGTGCAATTTGATTTAATTTTTTTACTTTAAAAACGCTCAAATCAAATCAAATAATTTAAGTGTAACTTAATTTGATTTGGTTTGATTTGAATATATTATGAAATTCAAATCAACCTAAATTAATTTTATTTTAGTTTGGTTGATATTGTGATTTTTAAAATTTATTTTTAAATTATTATTTAAAATTAATTAAAAATATTATATTGTTTTATTTGTTTAAAATTCGTTGGTTTAAAATTTGCATGTAAAAATAAATTAAAAGTATTTAATATTATTTATTATTTTATTATTTTAGTGAAAATATTTTTTTAATGCAATTTTAGTTATCATATATATTTTTTCATATTAAATATTTTTCTCATATATAATTTGTTATTTAAGATAAAATTATTTTCAAATGTTATAAATAATATATAATTTTTTATTTCAATATTTACTTTATTAGTTTACAAATTATAAATACCTTTTAAATCAAATATATTATAATATATATTTTTGAAAAAAAAACTTTTTATAACTAACAATTTAGAAATTTATTGCTTTACAAAACTTTTTATGTTATGTATTAATTTTGTATAATATATATTTTTAAAAAAATATTCATATTTAAATACGATTCAGTTTAGTATGAGTTAGTTTCACATTTTAATCTAAAAATTAAACTGAATTACACTGTTTAAGAAAATAAAAATAAAAAACAATAGCATAAATATTTTTTTAACTAAACGATGCATTTTTTTATTTTCTAAAATGAGCTATTCGGGCCTTGAAATGGGTCAAATGAATTTCATCAATAAATAATAATAATAATAAATCAAAGTGTAAAGTTATTTACACAAATATATGCAAACAAATGAATTCATTTAAAAGATAAGTTATTTTAAATTTTAAAATAAAATATATATAAAGATAAAAATGTCTTAGTGTAACTCTAAAACAGAACTCTTGTGCCCAAATAAAAATAAATAAAAACAGCGTACTCTTAACTGGTGTAACTGCCACTGTCAATGAGTGAGTTACATGTATTCTTAGTTTGGGACGCAACCAAGAGAAGTAGAAACACTACAATGTTATTTCTGTTGTCATTCTAAAGTTGCCAGACGTGGATGACCAAGGAAAAAAAAGGTTAAAAAAATGGATAAATTTGATTTGAATAATTGACCAGTAATATTCCAGAGTGTCCAGTGTACCACCCATCAGAGAACGAATTTGAGGACCCTTTATCTACAAACTATTGCTCCAGAGGCATCTAAATTTGGAATGTAATAGTAGGTTATGAATGTATGAGTATCTCTCTTTTAAAAATGTTTGAAATAAAAGAATTTTCCATAAGTCACAAGTTAACGTAACATGTTAGTTTCATTAACAAATGTGTCATATTTGCTATATATCATCATGCGCATGTCACAAACTTCGACTTATCAGATGCGGAGATTTTTTTCTTCTCTAAATTCCCTTCTGTGGTCTCAGGCATTTATAAAATAGCTTCTCCTATTGTTGCCTCCATTTATGCTGTTGTTGTTTTAACCAAAGAGAAAGAGGACTTCAAGTTTCAAACTAGTGTACAACCTCTTCGACTTTCTGAGTGGAATGAGAAAGACAAGATGTCCTTTTCTACGGGAAGGTAAAAAAAATGATATGATCATGTTTTAAGTTTTTCACCAACTAAACCATGTAAATTAAGTAATTAATTGTTGACTTATATTATTTTCGTCAGAAACTACACGTTTCATGAATTTGAGGCTCTGGCAAAGGAGGCTTTTCTTAGTAGATTTCACAATTACGGGGATCTTGTTAATGATACAAGGCATAAATTTGGGAGCAAAACAAATTCTCTATTGTTCTCATTCATGTTGCAAATGAAATTACACTTATTTGTAGTTGAAAGAAAAACACAACGTTTACATCTTTAAATGCCTCTCATAATTCACACCATTAATATTATTAAAACAAAATAAAACTCCTAATTTAAGTTTCATAACAAATCTCCCCCTTAAACTTAAATGTTTTTCCCATCTCTCATTCCAATCAGCTTTTTGCAATTCTCCAGCAGTGTAGTCGGTAGTGGCTTGGTAAATATGTCTGCTGCTTGAACTCGGCTTCCGACATGCTCCAACTCGACTTTTCCTTGTCTGATTTGCTCTCGGATGAAATGAAATCGGACGTCGATGTGCTTGCTCCTTCCATGATTAACCGGGTTCTTTGCTAACTCGATTGCCGACTTGTTATCAACTCGGATCACAATCGCTTCATCTCGGATTACTCCCATATGCCTCAGTAAATTTGAAAGCCAAACTGCATGACATACACTCCAAGATGCCGCCACGTACTCGGCCTCGCAAGTTGACAGAGTTACAATAGGCTGCTTCTTTGACAGCCAAGTAAAAGCCGTATTCCCGAGTAGAAATACATAACCCGAGGTACTCTTCCGATCATCAACATCTCCACACCAATCACTGTCCGAGTAACCCACTAATCGGTAGTCGTCCGATTTTGAATAGAAAAGACCAAGTGATAGGCTTCCTCGAACATATCTCAAAATTCTCTTCAAGGCCTTCCAATGTGTGTAGCTCGGATCCTCCATGAATCTGCTCGTTATCCCAACACTCAACATTAAGTCGGGTCTCGTGCTTGTAAGGTACCTCAGACTTCCGACTAAGCTCCGATATCTCCCAGAATCAGCTCGATCTCCTCCATCAAACTTTGAAAGTTTTGTGCCTGGTTCCATTGGAGTAGAAACCGGATTGCAATCCTCCATTTTAAACTTCTTTAGGATTTCAAGTGCATACCTTTCTTGGGATATAAAAATCCCTTCATCCGATTGCTTCACTTCTAGGCCAAGAAAATATTTCATCAAGCCTAAGTCAGTCATCTCGAACTCCTTTTCCATTATCTCCTTGAACTCCTTAATCAGTTTAGCATTACTTCCAGTGAATATGAGGTCGTCGACATAGAGAGCAACTACCATCATATCTTTTCCTGAGTTCTTTATGTATAAGGCATGCTCGTACGGACATTGCTCATACCCGTTCTTCTTGAAATACCCATCAATCCTTTCATTCCAAGCACGAGGAGCTTGCTTCAACCCGTAGAGGGCTTTTCTCAATCTCAGCACCTTCTTTTCTTCTCCTCTCTTCATGTACCCGAGTGGTTGCTCAACATACACCTCCTCCTTCAGCACTCCATTTAGAAAGGCTGACTTCACATCCATCTGTAGAATTTTCCATTGTCTCTGAGCAGCTAACGAGATCAGAAGTCGGATTGACTCCATTCTCGTGACAGGAGCAAAAACCTCATCATAGTCAACTCCTTCCTTTTGTTTATAGCCCTTCACAACAAGCCGAGCTTTATAACGCTCAACCTCTCCCTCAGCATTCATCTTCTTTTTGTACACCCATTTTACTCCAATGGGCCGAGCTCCTTCAGGAAGGTTGGTCAATTCCCAAGTTTTATTACGCTCAATCGCTTCAAACTCCTCATCCATAGCTGTTCTCCACTTCTCATCTTGGACAGCTTTCTCAAAACTCAAGTCTTCAGAGTCGGCAAGAAGACATACAGCATGGACTTCACTTGTAGTGTCGTAAATTTCCCTCAGGCTTCTCATCCTTGGCTGTTGTAGCTCGGATTCTTCATCTGAGAGCTCGGTCGTAGTTATTGTTGAAGGTACAACAATGTCCGAGCTATCCGAGCTAGTTTCTACTTCGGCCGAGTTACTCCAACACCATTGCTTTGTTTCCTCCACGTGAACATCTCGGCTCACCACCACCTTTTTGTTATCAGGATCAAATAACTTGTATGCTTTGGATTTTTCATCATATCCAATAAATATATACTTCTTGCTTCGATCTTCTAACTTTGTCCTCTGCTGTCTTGGTACTTGCCCATAGGCCAAGCTACCGAACACCCTAAGATGAGAAACACTTGGCTTCATGCCACTCCAGATCTCCTGAGGCGTCTTCTCTCCTAGCTTTGCATGTGGGCATCTATTTTGCACATAGACTGCACACTGCACTGCCTCTGCCCAAAACTTCTTCGGCATATTCTTCCCTTTCAACATAGATCGAACCATATCAAGAATAGTTCGGTTCTTCCGTTCCGCTACACCATTTTGCTGCGGAGAATATGGGGCAGTCAAGAAACGCTTAATCCCATGTTCCTCGCAGTATTTGTTGAACTCAAAGGAAGTGAACTCGCCACCTCGGTCAGATCGGACTGCTTTGACAAATGTACTCATCTCTTTCTCCACCATCACTTTGAATTTCTTGAAGGTTTCAAATACTTCTAACTTTTCCTTCAAAAAATAAACCCATGTCTTTCTTGAGAAATCATCAATGAAAGAGACGAAATATTTCTTACCACTGAATGATTCTGGAGTTATCGGCCCACACAGATCGGTATGGATCAGTCCGAGTTGCTCCTTTGCTCGGTACTCAGAACTCCTTGGGAAAGAAGTCCTCGCGTGCTTCCCGATCACACATTCTTCACAGAACTTCTTTTCAAACTCCATTTTAGGCAGTCCAATCACCATCTCCTTTTTCACCAGCTCGGTCAACCCCCTAAAGTGAAGATGACCGAAC